ACACATTTACCTCAAAATGATGAGACCTATCTACTCACACCTTGTAGTTATGAGAGAGGGGGACACAGAAATATTTCCTGATCATAAATTTATGGGTTTAGTTAAAATCAGTCTCGGCCAATAGACTAAAACATACACTGTTTCGGTAGTGACATGAAAAATGTGGGATAGATAGATATATCACTATTTCACACTTTATCCTAGGATTCAGCAGCAGCACAGCGGCTCCCAACATCTGAATGAATGATAGTGTTATATTTCAATTTCACAAGAAAACGTGCAGCATCTTGTTCAAGCAATAATAAAAGGACACATTTCATTTATAATTTGTCTTAAATCTCATTTTGTTAAAAAATCGTGAATCGAATCGTGAGTTGAGTGAATCGTTACAACCCTATCATGTACATATATTGCGCGATAAGTCGATATATCGATTATTGCGACAGGCCTACTAATAACAAGACATAAAGACAACGTTCCTGTAACCTTTGTGAAGCAACCACCTGATGTGTTTCAGGAGGCCGTGTCAGTTGCAGATGTCGTCCTGTGGGCGGCGCTGTATCCTCTCCTGTCTGACTCTGGCTTTGATGCCGGTAAGAGCTCAAGCATCTGTTGATCTGCGCAGACTGCAGGACTCGTATCTGACGGGGTTTTCCTCTGCAGGTGAGCTGCGGTCTGTGCGCGGCTGGTTCCAGCGGGTCGGTGGTCTCGAGGCGTGTCAGACGGCCGCTCGCAGGGTCCTGCAGGGAAAAGGTGTTGAAGCCCTGAAGACTTTCCTCCAGAAACATCCGGCTACACAAACACCGCGCCGGGACAGTCCCACCAACGCCACTGAGGTGCACAGCAATCCCAGCATTATTTATATACTACTAAAGGATTTATTCATAGTTTGAATTTTTTTGTTTTTAGTCATTTGTTTTGTGCTTTTGTAATTTTTATTCATTTTTTTTTTAGTGCTGTCAAAAATAATGGGATGCGATTAATCGCGATTAATCGCATCCAAAATAAAAGTTTTTCTTTACATAATATATGTAATATATGTGCTGTGTATATTTATTAGGTATATATAAATACACACACATGTATATGTATATATGTATATATATATATATGTATATATTTCAGAACAATAGGTTATGTTTATATATTAAATATATTTATTTATAATATAAATTATATGAATATAAATATAGACATGTAACTACATGTAAATATTTTCAAAATATATACTGTATGTGTGTGTATTTATGTATACATAATAAATATACACAGAACACACATATATTATGTAAACAAAAACTTTTATTTTGGATGTGATTAATCGCGATTAATTGTTTGACAGCACAACATTTTTTGTTTAATATGTCTATATACCTTAATTAATTTTTTCTTACATCTTAATTTATTTTTAAGTTTTGGTAAATTTAGAATTTCAACTTAAATATGTTTTATTTGTTACAAATTTCTTCTAATATCTGTAACATTTGTTTTTACTTTTATTTGTAAATCTTTATTTCAGCTTTATTTCAATTACTAAGTTTTTTTTATATATATAATTGTAGTTTTAGTAAAGTAGTAAAAGGAAAAACAAGAAGTTATATTTTGCATAAAAAATTATTTACCTTAGTTTAGATTCTTAATGATTAATTATAATTATTATAATTAAGCACCTCATCCTCAGTCTAACCCTCATAAAAATAAATTTAATGAATCTTACAAAACCTGCACATCCAGGTCATTATTCCCCCTAAAATAATACATTTTGATAAATTGTTTTTAATGCAAATAATATCACCATAGTCCTAAAATATGCTTAATTTTCTTTATGCAAAATGTTGTTTATTATGTATTCCTTTTTGATGTGAAATATGACCTGGACATGTTCATGACAGGGTTTTGTGAGATTCATAATGTTTTATAGAATTTGGAGGTTAAATTTAAGATTAGATGCTTATTTATAATGTAAATAAAGTCAACATTAAAGGGGTCATATGATGCTGCTAAAAAGTACATTATTTTGTGTATTTGGTGTAATGAAATGTGTTTATGCGGTTTAAGGTTCAAAAAACACATTATTTTCCACATACTGTACATGATTGTTTCTCCTCTATGCCCCGCCTTTCTGAAACGCGTCGATTTTTACAAAGCTCATCGGTCTGAAAAAGCGAGGTGTGCACTGATTGGCCAGCTATCCAGTGCGTTGTGATTGGCCGAATTCCTCAAGCGTGAGACGGAAATGTTACGCCCCTCACCATACTGTGATGCCGTGTCCCGGAGCGACGAGACAAAAACATTAAAACCCATTATAAACGAGGCATTTGTTGCATCCAGTGGGGACATAATTACGGATTATTAGAGAGAGAGAGGGGGAGAGACCCCCCCACATGATTGTAAAGCACTTTGGGTGTACAACAATACACAATAAAGCGCTATATAAATGCATCATTTGTGTTGCATATCGCGCCGCGTAAACATAAAACCATGTCTGCACTTGTGATCAGAGAAATGACAAACAACAAGCACTACTCTACACTGCCCAAAACTCACGTTTGAATCATCAGTGGCAAATCCTTAAAATGAAAACGTACTT